CGTCTTATTTACTTCATACACAGATTACCTTCAATGTAGATATACAGCAACAATCGAATAGGCATGATTTGGCACTAAATATACTTTAACATATACAATTTATGTTTTCATCTCTATTTAATACATCTTGAAAATATAAAACAAACTATTAAAAATTTTTGTTTTTGTTATTTTTAATTATACTTTTTCAGAGGATGAGAACTATGCGGTGAAATGAATTTCCAATTAAGAATTATAAATTGAATTAAACGAGGGAATTAAACTTATTAAAATTTGGAAATAAAATTGCATCTGTTTTTTTATTTTTTTCGCTATAAGATTCAAAAATAGTTCATTTTTAATTGAAAACTGTTGTCTATTAAGAATCCAAGATATATTCAATATTTTCAATGCACGTGCTTTTGGTTTTTAATTTTCACCGGAAGTCGAACAAACATGTTTACTATTAACTGTTGACATAATAAAAACATTGTGTCAACTGCAAAATGCAATTTTCGAAATTTGTGCCAAACGTGCCACGTTGCCTCCGCAGTTTTACATTGATCAATATATATCTCATCGAATCTCATCATCTGACAACATGTGCCTATTAATGTACCTACGTCATCGTAGATGTACGAAATTTTACAAAGAAAAGAAGAATTTTAATTAAATAGTAAATAATATTTAATTATCACATTTTAATAAATCATATCTTGAATCTGAGTTCATATTTAAAATTGCATATGTAAAATCCTAAAATTTTATAATGCACATCTAATGAATCTAATATACAATATTTGAAATTAAATGATTTTTCGATGAGAATCTTAGAATTCTTTAATGAGCCGAATTCCCGCATATTGAGAATAAGAATTTGATCGAAAGAAGATAAACTTGATTACCGTTTCTGTTTTCTGTTGCATGCACATTAAGAAATATTCTCGATTCAAAGAATAATAAATATAAGTCACGCATATCAGACTGGATAAACATACAAAAATCAAGAAATGGAATGGTACAGTAAATCGTTGAAGAATAAAACAGAAGTATATATCACTTGCTGTCCCTTTTTCAAGAAGAAATAAGAGAAAGAGGAGATGCAAATCTTTGTGAGAAGAGAACTTCTCGCGGTTAGAAATAGCTTGAAGTACATCCGATGTAAAGAAGCGACTTGATGCAGAAGACTTGAGGATCTATACGACTTGCCAAGAATGACTGATGCAAACGATTTCTGCGACACGTTGATCGAGTTCATTTAACAACTTAATGCAATTCGCGGAATTCTGATCTTGTCATTAAGCAATTAATGATTTTTACAAGCTCACGGCATATTAAATCTTTATTGAGCTTGATTCGATTTGCTGATTGTTCTTTAAAAAAAATTTATGTATTGTGACGGGATGATTAAATAAAATGAAAAAGATATTATCTGAACATATCAATTCGTAGTGATAAATAAAATAATCGTAATAATATAATATGATTTAATTAATCTTATTATAAGACATAAAAGAACACGTTTTAAAGAAGCTGTTTGTTTGAGCTATTGCACGATTCAATCTAAATTATCTGACATTATATATCTCTCAATGTCGTAGATAATATACATAACGTGCACAATTTTACAAAAAAAAAAAACTTTAACTTATAAATAATATTTTAATTTATAAATAATATTTTGAAAACTAAAAGAGTTCCAAGATTTTCGAATAATATCTAATGGTTTCAATATTTAAAATCGAATGGCTTTCGCGAGATATTTCCATACATCGAAAATCGGTCAGAAGAAGCGAAATTATTTGATTATCATCTTTACTATTTCACAACGTCACAAATGTATGAAGTTCTTGATTCAAAGAATAACAAATAACAAATAAACCACGCAAACTGCAGATAAACATACAAAAGTCGAGAAGGCTCTCGAAATTATTGTGTCTTTATAACAATAAAGTTTATAACAGTGAAAAGCAGAGAAGATATTTAAAAAAGATGTACTGCTTTAAGAAATAACATTAATAAAAGAATTTTTCTTGTTGTTTAATTTCAGGACCGAGATGGGTATGATAGCGCGCGTGAGGCGTCGCGTCCGCGCGAACTCGCTGACAATCGACAAGGAGAAAACGGCGCAAAGCGTCTGCCTTCTAAGCGCGGTTCTTCTTCTACCCTATTGCCCGCGCGGTCCGCTGCCGCTTCTACCGTCGCCCGCACCGGTCCTATATTCAGCCCTTGTCCTGCCGGTCGTTTTAAGTGCGAATTACAGATATCCGGTTCCGACCCTCAAGACTCTTGCTGAGGCGGTTAAAGGTACAAACGGATACTTTAACATTGATCTCACTACTTTTCCATTCTAATTCGCCGATCTCATCTTCAGACTAAACCGATTTTTTTACTTTAGATTTTTTTAATCTCATTTTTCTTTTAGAATAATTTTCTGAAAATCGAAATAAATTTTTATAATAATGAAATCATTGATTCTGTGTCGATTATATACAAAGCTACAATGTCAAATAAGATTTTTGATATGTATTTTGAACGCATACATTGACATGTCGAGACAATCAAACAAGATATAGAGATCAAGGCTCGATAAAATAATTGTTATTTAAAGTAATTAATACTAAATAACTATTTTATTTACACATATTTTAAATAAGATGTTATAAATGTGACAGACTTCTGTGATACGATTTGTTTAAAATAAAAAATATAAAATCAAGAAAATACGTATATAAATAATTTTAATGATACTACTATTATTAGCAGTTTATATAATATTCGAGTTTAATTTTATGTAACTAATCATCGATCTCCCTTGAAAACAAATAAAATATAGAATTCTTCAGCTCTTAACAGTATTGGTTAAAGTTGAATTTTAAATTAAGTTATACTATTAAAATAAAATTTTTTTTTTTAAATAATTAGATACAAAATTTCAAGTCACAAACAATTCACTTCCCAATTAACACATTTAAATTCATTAAAAGAATTTTTTATTGCTGTTCGTTTAATTTTGAATTCTACTTTCTTCACTTTTAACAACAAATATTACAAACAAATTTTTAGTATTCCCATGGGTTCACTTATGTCTCCAATTAGTACTAACATAATTTTGCAGAATTTAGAAGAATTAGCAATTGAAAAATTACCTACACTTACTGTTTTATCTTCAATATATGAATGATATACTATTTTAGCTGTATCAATCGAATATTTGAATGACATACAAAAAAATTTTAATTCATTACATGGTAGATTACACAATGAAAATTGATAATAAGAGATTAAGCTTTCTTAATACAATAGTTATTGTTGAAGATCAAAGAATTACATTTGATAGATATCAAACAGCAATTTGTTTCAATAGATTCCTTAATTTTTATTTAAGTCATCCGCTTTGTCACAAGAAGGACATAATGTTTGATATTGTAGACAGAATAGTACGTCTGTCTCACTCACGATTTCACAAAAAGAATCTGACTAATGCTATCTATTCATTTTTAAATAATGGGTATCCACTTTCTTTGATTTTCTCTGCAATACAAGAAAGACTAAAATATCATATATAAAATTATATTATAAGAAGAAAAGACCAATTAGATTTGTTATCACATCAGGACGTAGTCTACAAAATCTTCTATGAAGATTGTGATGTTAGCTACATTGGTCAACGAAACGAAAGTTAAAAACTACATGAACAACGTTTCGATATTAATAAAAAAACAGGTTCCCCACCTGTAATTACAGATCACTGGATTAATTTTAATCATAATTTCAAATGGGTTAAAATTTTTGACAATGAATCCTCTTACAATAAGAGATTAACATCAGAGATGATCCACAGAAAAAGACAGAGATAAGGCTTGAACAAACAGAACGAAATTGAATCTTACCGAAATCATATCTTAATATTATACAATCTCTTTCTCCTTTTCTTAATTTTCTCTTCTTTTCTCTTGCCCCTTCCTTCCCATATTTATTCCCCACTTCCTTCCTACATTTATTTGTTTGTTCTTTAATCTTATTTTATTTACAATGTTCCTCTGATAATCATCTCCTGATCGTATGCTTTTTTGTTATTACACGACGCCAATTTTATTAATCGGACTGTTTTTTATTTGATGGTAGCAATACTCCTTTAATTTATTACAATTGCAATTTTATTAATTGGACTATTTTCACTAAGATACACTTTTATTACATTTCTACATCAATCACTTCCACAATTTAAAAAAAAATATTGAATTTTCAGAAAAGATTGTAATGGTTTCATCTACATTGTTTTATCAAGATCAATTACAATTAAAGCGTGATATAAGGATTCTACATTCAACCTTCATGCAATAAAATGTTAATTGCAAAAAATATCATCACACTTTTCATAAAGGTTCCGTTTTTTCTTAAAAGTATTTTATTTCGTTATAATGTTTTTATGTAAATATCTGTGACTTAGATTGATTCAATCGGTGTCGAAACGTTTTTTTTAAGTTTTTATTTATTGTTATTAATTTGTATTTGTTATTATTTTGTACATTAAAAGATTCAATTCGTGGTCGTAGTCCATCTATTTTATAATTTTACATTTAAATCTTATTAATAAATCAAAAATAGCGCGCCGATTTTAGTCTAATTATAAGATAATACCGGTTGAAATTGAATTTTATATAAAAAAAATTAACTGTTGCAAAAAATTAACTGTTTTTAAAATATCAATACTAGGATTTAAAATCATAAATAGTTCACTCTCTAATTAACAGTATTTAAATTTTACATTAACGATACAATAATAGAGCCGCAGATTTTAATCTTACAATCAATTAAAAATGATATATCGGAACGAATTAATTAAAATATTCTCTACTTATTGTGCATAATAATATATAGTATTATTAATTTTATTAGTGATACAGTTGAAATTGCAAAGATAAGAATAATTCGATTCCAACTATAATCAAGTAGTGTAGAAGTAGCGTTGCGCAAACGAGGAATTGCCGTAGGTCATGTCATTCTCTCGCACTCACCTAAACTCTGAAATCCTTTCGCTGATTGTAAATGTTGGATTCGTCTCCAATCGGCGATGATCCCTATAGTGTTGACGCCAAGTCGTTCAATGCTCGGTCGGAGACGGAGCGCTGTTAGTTTTATAGGTAGCAGAGGCCCTCCTGAACTCCAACCGGGGGATGGGAGATCCTTCGGTTGCCATGTGAAATCCTACGGGTTCCACCGCTATGTCGCCTCCTCAGTATCTGTCCTTGTCTCGTCCTGCTGCCATGTCGGTGACTCGTCCTGACTGACGTCCATTAATATGCAAATCCTCTCTCGATCGTCGGCTCTCTCTGGGACTTGTTACTAAAAATGAAGTCGATCATTCATCGAAGCCACGTCAATTACGTTATACTCAATTAACGGTGGCCGACGGAGGCACTTTCTCTCTCTCTCTCTCTCTCTCTCTCTCTCTCTCTCTCTCTCTCTCTCTCTCCCCTCTCCCTTTCTTTCTATCTATCTCTATCTCTTTCTCTACCTCTCTTTTTTCTTTTTTTCTCTCTTGCACGCGCTCACGCTCATCAGCTGGCAACAAGTTCATGATTATTAACGTAAAGCACGCCCTGTCATGTTATTCAGCAACTTGTCATCCTCCGATAAAACCCTCAACAGAGGGTGAGTCGCTGCCGTTCGTTGATCAGGTTCACCTCCGGAAAATCACTCATGATGACGCGTTCCTACCTCTCTTTTTATTCTCTTTCTTCTTCGGGAAGCGAAAGACATGAGAAAAAGCGAGACAGAAGAAAAGGAGGAGGAGGAAGAGAAATCTATCTCCGTGGTGAATGCATATCAATGTTCTTGTGCGTAATAATAACGAGATGTCGCGTGTCTGTGCGTTTCTTTTTTGCTCGCCTCCGCATCCTCGCCAACGTAAACGGCCGTTAAAATAATTTTCTCCGATAATTACGAGGAATAATTTTAAATGGTTTTTGTCCGATCATTCGAGAGTCGGGCGACGAGGTAGGTTGTAACTTTTGCGAATCGCCTTCGTCAAGTGGCCGATTTGTATCCTCAAAATGTAATTATTATCAGTTGAACGATTCGGTCTTCACGTTTGCCTCGATCATCTGTGATTTTTGCCCGGTGACGAACGTAAATAGCCACGTATAGATGTTTTTGTATAGAGGAGAATAAGGCCAATATGAAAATTGAAGTAATCAATCTGCGTTAGTTACTTCATCATGCCAGTGTGATACACGAGATACCGCATCTTAAGCTAACAGTAAAAAATTACCTTTCGAGAATCCGCGCTTCTTAAGTTATAATTTGAAGGTATAAATTAAGAAACTTTCTTCAATGTAATCTCAAAGTATAAATTAAAGTTATTAATCGCTCCTTCAAACGCGAATATTCAAAATTCTGCTGAATATTTTCGAATTATAAACGCCAATCTGGATATCTCTAAGGCGCGATATGAAAAACTTGGAGTAAACATCAATCTTTTTCATTAATTTTTTTAAAAGCGTAACAACATTAATAAATGCGGGAAACAAAATCCCTTATTCTTAATAGCAGGCTAATATTTATCATCGTTTTGACATCAAAATAACGATAAATCACGTTTGTTTGCTATCTAGATTCTATATTGAAGCAAAATTAAATCCTTCATTTGTATGAGGATAAAAATAAATTTCTTATTTTATATTAAGGTAAAATTAAATCCTATAATATACTATTTTGAAGTAAAATTAAATCCTTCATTTTATTGATTATAACACAATGTTCAAAGGTGGAGCCAAGAGAGCATGGCATCCTCTAAATCGCTTCCTGAGACGGTTATATGCACCGGTGGACCGCGCGGAGAATCTCTTCCTGAAGATGCGCAATCTTTCCGTCATGGCAAACCAGATAATCTTCCTGATCTTGGCGGATAAGGTGTTGCTGCCACAGCAGAGGCTGACCTGCTTGTATACGCTTATGTTTTACAACGTGATAGCCTACTGTGTGAGCTACATCAAGGAGCTAATCCAAAAGGAGGATTGGTCACCATATGTCACCTTGACTGAGCGATCTAAGATCAAACATCTCGCGATGTCGGCCACCAAGATCGTGCTCGAGTGGACTAAGGCGGTAACATTCGTCGTCACATTGACCTTCATGCTTCTCGTATTCGGACTGGAGCAAGGCCTCGATCATTACAAGTGAGGAACTTGATTGAAGAGGAACCAATCCTCTTGGTCTATAATATGTATAATAATTAAGAATGTCTATTAGAATTGTTCCTTTGCTTGTCATACATACAATTGATCTTTCTCAATCCATGCATTTTTTCATAAAATTCCTATAGAAAATATAAAAGTGAAAATGAAATCACTATAATTCTTAACGTAAGCGTTGTTGTATTATTAATTATTACGCAATTTTTTATCACGTATAAAATCGTAATAATATTATTGTCTTTTTAAAAATTACAAAATAGAAGCTAAAATCTGTGCAAACTTGTTCTTAATGTTGTTCAAAGGGTGAGAATTTGAGACGTTATAACAAACTCTTAGCACAAAAATGTACGAATTTTGCTGTAGGAAAATAAAAATATGCAAATTTTTATTATTTTTAATTCGACTCGTATACTTACACATTGATTATAGAAGGGTTAATATTCAGTTTATTATTAAATTTTATTTAACATTTTACATTCATTATGGATTCATGAGATAGTAATTTCTTTATTAATATTCTATTTTCTAAAAAAATTAACAATTTTGATTTGTGACAAATGTAATCCATTCTATTCTATATTTCTTTTCCTTCCCTTTAATTTCTTATCATTGCAGACCTTCGTTGATCTATACGGTGATTACGTGGATTTATTATTCGGCGACGGAGAAGGTCTTCGTCGAGATGTTTCCAACGATCCTGGGTTTCTTACAGTTAGAAGCATTGGAGAACATCGAAAATCTGTACGCGCCGGTGATACTCCGCTGCTTTACGATCGCCATGTCGGCGATCTTCAGCATTCTGTTATTGTTATCGGCCTCTTGGAGGTTCCTAATGGTTGCTACGTATTTGAATGTGTATTTGCGATGGAAGGAACTAACGGAGAATTCAGGCGCGGTACTGCGACGAGAACGCGAAGTGTTAAATCGCTACAGGAAGGCGACCCTTGAGGAGATCGAAAGGTTTGATGACGTGTGTGCGGTGTGTCTGTGCGGTATGACGAAAGCCAGGGTGACACCCTGCCATCATCTCTTCCACGCGGATTGCCTGCGACAATGCCTGAAGACCAGCGACAAATGTCCTATGTGCAAGCGCGAACTCAAGTTCGACTAAATAAACGACATCGGGGAATATATTTTGATTGCCTCCAGAAAGATTTACGAGATTCTCAAAATGCGCCATTGAAGAAGACGAAGAGAAGAGAGATATGTAGATGACATTTCGTATATGGAAGATTTACGGCATCTTTTATATATTTGAATTTACGACGTCAATGGCGTTGGAAGGATTTACGGTGTTCTTTTCGTTTATAAAAGATTAAAAAAAAAGAGCTTTAAAAAAAAGATTCAAAATGAAATTCTTATATTATTCAAAAGGAATCAACAAAAAGAGGAAGTATTTGCGAAAATTTATGGAACATCGACAATATTCGCAACGCATGGAATACATGTTCCTTTAGATATATATTACTGTGATATAGATCAGCAGCAATGTAGTTTATTGTTAGGATTATATCGGAGATATACAATAACTTTACTTCACGTCAGTCAATTTGTGACCAACATACGTCATTCATAACTTTAATGTAACTAGCGAATGGAAATACGCTTATTTTATATTATTGTCCTGATGAAAAATATTTCTTATAATTTTTCATATAATTTTTTAGAATTATTATGTAAATATTAGAATTATTTAAAATTTCTGTATAATTTTATATTTTTAAAAAATTTCTTAAATTTTTTTATATATGAAGTGGAACATTTTTCAAAAAATTGAGAAAGTCTAAATCTTTTCTAGAATTTTCTCATATATGTGAATTTATTGAAATCTATATTCTGATGTTTGTGAATATCTGAAATATTATATTTGTATTTTGAAATCTATATTATGATATTAGGATTTCTCATTCTGTAATTTTTGGAGTAAACTTATAAAATTTTAAGTTTAAGATATATTTTCAGAAATCATAAATTAAAAAAAATGTGACAAATTCTTAAAAATATTGTGAAATATTATGAGAATTTTTTTCACCAAGGTATCTATTTTTCGTTATATCATTAATATAATGCCCATCGAGGAAAACTGTAAATTGCGTTGTTTATACATATATCTGTAAAACACTCTTTTCGTTGCGTTTTGCACGAATTGTGTAAAACTCCATTTTAATTTTTATATATCTAAACAGCTCATTACAATCTTAAATATGGAAAATTGTTTTGCAACAAATTGTCGATAGAATAAATAGAATTTAAAATAGTGCAGTTTTGTACGCTACAATTTGTTTTTTAGAAATTGTAATGAAGTAAGCTTTAAGAGCCGTATGATAATGCAATTAAGAAATCAAATAGTATTAAAAGATTTCTCTATAGAATAAGTTTTAATTTTCATATTCAAAATAAAGTCTCTAGTCTCTAACAAAGCTTCATTTTCTCGGGAGTTATGGCAGATAAAATAAGTTCTTATATTCCATTGAAGCTCACAATATCCAATGATATATGCTTTTTAAGAATAATTTGTCGCTTACTTAAACAGTAAATTTTCTTCTTGAAAAAAAAAGAAAATATTTTTTTCTCCATATATTAAAATATTTATTTGCTTCTATCGCTTCCTATATTCTATTAGATTCATGTAACACTATTAAATGTACGAGATTTCGAGCTTGAAATATATGTTTTATTTATATTCTTGACTTTTAATTCTATTCTTTAATATAAAAATCCCCTTTTTTAACATCAAATACTCATTCTTCTCCATCAAATTTCCGAGTGGTGTTTGTATATTCTCCATCGGGACTATTGTAATTTTCTATTGGAGGTGTTTTTAATGGTCCTTTCGCTGTATATGGTAAAAGTCCTAAATCCAGCTAAAACATACACAAATGAATGAATTTAAACTATGTAATAGAATTCTTATGCAAAATTGCTTACAATTATATATAAAATAAAAATAATCATGCTCAGTTTAATTTCTTGAGTAAATTAAATAATTACTTGTATTGCTTCTTGATACAAATCTTCTGATTCTGCCCTTAGCTCATCGAGTGCCTTTTGCTGCGAATAAAAGATAGAATCTATTGCCTGAATGTTAGCTAAATGCTGTTGAGATTTGTATCTATTCCAATCCTTTTTCAATAAAATTCTAGACTCCATTTCCTCTTCTGATATCGGTGGAAGTTTTCTCAGTCTTTGCCTGAAATCAGTTTCCAATTAGTAAATCGCAGGCATAAGAACATTATAAAATTAATTATTATACTTGTCCTGCGTATAATTTGTTTGCATAAAAAACTTACTCCCTTTCCTCTATTAATTTTGATGGCACTTCCAACTCGCTGATTGATTTTAGTTGCTTAGATAGCTTTTGCAATCTACGAATTTGTTTTTCTAACTTTCTTCGTCTTCTTTCTTCTCTTGCCCTGATAATCGCAGGATCTAATTTCTTTTTTTTCTTCAACGGTTCTCCTCTATAGAATAAATAAAAGAGAATTACAACATGCTTGTAATTGTGCTATAATATGTACATCAAATGCTGCAAGAAATTTACAATGATGAATGATGAATGAACTTACAAAAGTACACTGCTGACTCTGAAGTACAGTGGATCGGTACATGCTGAGATGTTTCGTATGCCAGGTATAGTGCGCACTGATAGTCTGAAAGGAAAACGGCAGATCAATTTTCGTGAGAATCTTCCTATCGAACTTACAAAAGCATTGTTCGTTTATCTTTCGGGAACTGCTCGAGATCGTTCCGAACGAACCCAGTGCACTTGAAATGTAAAATTCGCATTACATACGACATCCATCATATAATGTCTGATATTTATCATTATAACCCAAGAAACTCTCGAGAGAACAAAACGAACAATGCTAAAGATAATATACAATTTAGTCACATTGACAATGCACAATTCTTTTATCAAAACCCAATTAAATTATTATTTAAATAATAATTTATTTCAACACTGAATTTAAATTAACATTATTACTTATGTCGTAATTACCGCGATAAAGCAGGCAGCAAATTCAAAACATTCATCTTCTTAAGATAACCTTCTTGCGCATTCAATTCTCTCCCTTCACTTCTATGAAAACATTGCACAATGTCGCAAATGGATCATAGATGTAATAAATCAGTAGTAGCAATACTCTCCCTAGGCACTAAAATCCCTGTACGTATTGTAAAAATACCTAAATGCAATCAGCGCACGACCGTGGTCAACATGTGATATGAGTACCAGAGAGAAACCCGAGAGAATACAGAAACGAATCACATCGACTTTCGACGATACGATCAAAATTTATCGACAATGTCAGAGAATATACGTACTCACGTAGTTCTCAAACTGAAAATGGATGTACTGGCGGTGGTGTAATTTCGATGTTAACAGAAAAAAGGCCAGCATGGCCTCTCTCGGGTTTCTCACTGGGTACTCACGTGCGGTGTCACGTGTTATATGTGTTCGGTGTTGCCTAGCAACGGTTTGACATTACACTGAATCGCCGTAAGTGTTGTATGTACACATGTGTCAATCACTATTCACTAGACAGAATTTAGAAGGAAAAGGAAAATAATTATCACGATGACAGACGAGGTGCGACCTGAGGTAATAAAGAAAACACAGAATTTACTCGGAAAATATTTCAAGAAGCCGCCACTGACCGAGAAACTACTTCGCAAGCCGCCGTTTCGCTTTCTCCACGATATTATAACAGCTGTAATTTATCGTGCACAATTTTAGATACTGAAATAAATTATTAATTCTCTTTTTGAAAATTGTTTCATCTTACATTTATCCAGAATATAGATTTATATAAATTCTGCTCGCATTAAAAATATTATATATAGTTGAAAATTAATTTCAGATCATTAAAGAGACTAGTTTCTTAGAAGGATTATTTAGCGAGGAAGAGCTAAATTCTGATAATATAAAGGATAAGGAAGCTAAGCTTGCTTTCTTGACAAAACTCATTGATATCGTCAGTAAGTATTTAATTTTACTGAATTATGTTCTGTCACTGTATATATGATGTCTAAATATATTACATGAATATTATGTGTATTAGAATTAATCTCGGGTGTTAATTTAACGGTCAGAGCAAGTAAAATCATCTCTGGTCAAGAGCCTACAAAGACAAATGAGCTGTTGCAAACCATTGGAAAAGTTCTTGATAAGAAAGTAATACATTTTGTTATTTAAATAGAAAATTATTTTTAAAGTAAATTACTAGTGCGTTTATTTAGGTCAGTAGCAAGGAAGCGATTGACCACTACAAAAAGAGCTTGGAAAAAAAAATAAAGGGATCAAAGTCAAGATCCACGACTAAAGAGGAAACTTCGAAGAAGCCTGCATCAAGACAGTCTTCGCAAACGAGGAAATCATCGGAGAAAGATAAGATCTCGGCGGAGCGAAAGAAAAGGTCATCTAGCACAGGAAAAGTAGTATCAGAAGCAAAGCGAGATAAAGATGACAGAACCGAAGAGAACAAAACAAAAAAAGGAAATGATTGGAAGGAGGAAAATTCAAAGAATATTGAGGCTATAGATATTCCACCAGCTGAAGTAAAAATTCAAAGAAAAATTCACATTGTTTAAATCAGTGATGCGCAATCTTTTTTAAAGATCATTTTCCAAAGGCCACTTTTAGAAATAAGTAAAATCTTTCGGGTCACATAATGTTTATTTCATTTATATAAAATAGAAAATATATTTTCAGCTGAGTCGATGAACTGCAAAAAACTTACACATGTGCCGCAGATTGCATATCACAATAGATTTGAACAATAGAGCTTTTAAAACAAATATTTATTAAAGAAAATTAAAGTTCTATTTTTTTTTAATTTTAAATCCACAAACTGCTTGAACTCTGTAATTAAAAGATAATTTTTTAATATTTTTTCTCAAGTATGTGCTTTATCATAACTCACACATTTAAAATACATCTTTTATTATATTCACAGCCAGTTCAGAATAAAATTCCTACTTCGGCACAAAGAAGAAGGCCTTCTTCATCCGCTAACAAGACGAAGCAGGATGCCATGAATTTAGCAGATGCCAATGATCTAGCGAAGGAAGAACAGGTACAACATAAAAATGCCTCCGGTAGAGAAAAATGCTTGGTACAAATGAATAGGTCATAAGAAAAAAAAAGAAAATATATTATTACAGATATTTGATAACGAAAATAAACCAGTAACGAGTAATTATACTAAAGAGATTAAGGAAAATGGAATAGAAAAGGATAATGCGTTGCAACAAAGCATTGAAAGAAGCGATCAACCAATGTCAGAGCTTGCAGGATCTCAAACTGAAGCTACTGAAATGATGTAATGTTCAGTTCTATAAGTTTATTGCTGAAATCAAATTATATCGAAGTGATAATAATGTTAAATTCCAATTTTGTTTTAGCGTTTCACAACAACCGATTGCGAGACCTAAAACATCTTTAAGACCACCTAGTGCCAGACCCATCAGTTCTAGGCCAGCAGCTCCCAGAATGAGAGCAAAAACAGAAATAATAGTCAATGAAGAAATACAGTAAGATTATTTAATTTAATTTTATTAATTTAATTTATATTAAACGAAAAATTATTATAAGTAATTTCAAAATATGATTGTAGAACACCATTAGGAAATATCAGCGTTATCGTAGAGAATTCCAACTTGAAGGATGACGATGACGATGATGCAGAAGATATGGTAGTGATGGAAGCAAAAGGAAATGGTGGTGATCTTTTAGAGAATGGAGATTATAAGATAGACAATCAGCTGATGCAAGAACATGGGCATCTTGTTGCTCAAATCTTAGAAACTCAGAGAGAATTAGTCAATACGGATAATGTCGATGTATTGCCGAAGAAAGTCGATATCGTAAGAATTAAAATGTGTTTTTACTTTTATTTTTGATTTTTATCTTGATTTTTACTGCAGCAATTTTATCACAAAACATTGAGTGAATTATCATTGAATAAATGCATTTTGATTCAGGCATGGGAATCAGGTTCGAAACGTGACCGAGAAACAGCAGCTAAAGAAATCGATAAATTACGTGGAACTATACAAACATTAACGCGAACGACAAATCCTTTGGGAAAATTGCTGGATTATGTACAGGTAATATATATACATTTACACACATTCTTATACTATCGATCTGTTTACGAAATTAAATTTAATTAGGAAGACGTAGAAATGATGGAAAAAGAATTATTGGATTGGAGAAATCAATATCGCCAATTAAACGAACAATTGGAAGAAGAACAAAAGTACGTATAAAAGTATATGCACATAAAATTGAGAATAAACAATTTTAATGATTCTTCATTTATATTTTTATTTTCGGAATAAATAATTCAAATAATTCTTTATTCTGAAAATTAATATGGAAATATTTTTTTTTTTTTAGAGAAACGGAAGAAATGATAGAACCTATGAAGGAGACATTGAAAGAAATTGATAGCAATATGAAGATTCAGTTAGATAAGATACGTCAAGTAAAGGCGCAAATTATGAAAAATGATCAAAAAATACGGCGATTACTTAATGGTAACCTATAGTGTAATTACATCGCTATATATCGGAATGTAAATATTTTTATAAGTGTTATTGTGAAGTACGTAATTATTTTATCATAAATTATATATATAGCTCCGAAAAAAATTCTCTGTATAAATAGAA